ACATGTTTGCACCCAATGATTGCCATTACCATTGATACCCCAAAATGGCCAGGTCCTGAATTTGAGAGTAGGTCCTGAAAAGTTTTCTGGGTACTGAAAAAACAGGATTTTGGCACAGGGTCTGAAAAAAGACGTAGGTGGAAGATTCAGGTATGCTGTTGGGTTGCAAAGCTGGGTTAATTTGTAAGATGGGATTCCAATTAGAATTGGCCAGTTCATGGTGCAACAATGGGGATACCCAGTCAACGTGGTGGTTCAGATACTAGCATTAACAATTTGGTTTTGATCATCCCTTATGATCCAAACTGTTGAAATAAATGGAGGTGAAAATCTAAGAGCAATACTTCTAGTAACGATTGACCATAATCAAAAAGTCCAGCCTAAGATACTATGCAGGATACCATCTGGTTATTTAACATAGCCATGGAAAATCACCATTTTTAATAGGTAAACCATCCATGTCTATGGGCCATCGAAAAACCATGGCGAACTGCTAGTCATAACCAGAGGGTAATTTTCCAATGGTGAAAGTCCGTGGATCTGACTGGGCAGTCCAAATATCTTTGGACAGATTTGGAACGAAAAAAAATGTCCGGAAAGTTATAGTCAGTATGTAAAAAACTATCACAATCATGCAGTAACTTTGAGACCCCGCACATATAGCCACGGAAAATGGGCTTGTTCCCGCCTGCTACGCATCGTTTGTTGGGCTCGGCCGGCCTGTTTTTGGTGTTTTTTTTATTATTTTTTCGTGTTGAACTCATCAGACTAAGTCAACGTCAGACCTGCCATAGCATGACCTCTTTAAGCCCCCCTTTTTTTGGCTTGGATACCCTCTGGTAATTTGTTACATAGCTATAATGACTCGGCTGTAGTCCCTTTTGATACAACCTGATACCCGATTCCTAAGTCTTTGCCCCAGATTGTCCCCAGATACCCTCTGGTAAACTACTGTAACAGTTTGCTATTGAAAATTGCTATTTATAGTGGATTTTCCCATTAAAAATGGTGATGTTCCATAGTTATGTGCAAGTTTACCAGAGGGTATCTATACCCTCTAGTGGTTCAATGGGAAATCCATGGAAATCCCCTTGAAACGGAGGTATTTTTTCGCGGGTTTTAGTCATCTATAGATGGTGGATTTTCCAGCAAGCCATGTTTGAGAAAACCCATTATGGTTGTAAATTCCATGATCTCACCATGATATTCCCATGATATCCCATTATATACCTATTATCCCCTATTATCCTATTATATCCTGCAGTGTCGATTTGGATGCGAGGCTACTCCTTGGGTGGACGTGTAGCGATGGGCTTTGCAGACAGGCCAGGCCAGTGGGGAACACCAACGAGGCGTTCTGGATGACAAAGAGCCTGACCGGGATATATCATATTCTCATCAATTCTCCACCAACGAGATATAGGGGTTTCATATGGGGCATCCCCAAGTCACCATGGGTTTCAATATTTTTCAATACTCGAATGGTCTAATGTAGCTTGGAACCATGGCTATATCCCCATGACTTAGGAAACCGGTTTCTTTGCTTGAGATGCACCCCCCGTAGTTCTATAATGATACAACGTTGGTTGTAAAAAAACATCTATAGATACATCCCCCTAATCAACCCAAGAGATTTTGTAGTTCCTTGAACGGGCTCTGGTTCATTGATTATAATCTCTTGGCTATGGTTCATTGATTATAGATGATTTATAAACAAATTTAGTTATCAAAAGGCCCCACATTGTACCATAGCCATGGAAAATCCACCCCATGACGCCGTGACTCCGCGCCGCAGCTATCCGGAGCGTTGTGCGGCGTTGATGGTTTTGCCCGGGGCCAGAGTCGAATTGGCGGAGCTTGACCGAACTGAGGGGCCAACAGCCGCATCTGTTCAGGTGGACGAATGGAGTTAGTTCACTAGTTAGTAAATGAATATAAATGAACATATAATTGAATATAAATGATTATAAATGAATTGTAATTGGAATACAGTTGTTTATAACCCAGTTACTAACCAGTTTGGCTACATAATCCCATTGCCTTTTTTAAGTTCTGAATATACTGGTGGATGCGGTGGATGCTCAAGTGTCAGGCTCTCCCATGAAGGAATGTCATGGGTATCCCCAATTTACACAGGATTGTCATGTTCTTCCCCATCAAAATAACATGTGTATTTGGATATATTTGGGAGTAAAAAAAGTGCTTTTGTGCAGTTTCATCCATTTTCAGAGACAGCCATGGCCATCATAAATTTGTCAATGAACTTCCACCTTTTTTGGGGGGAAACAGGATGATTCATAGGGATGGTTTTTTCAGCCTATATCGGATATACATCGATTTTTTTGGTCTGGTTGGATGAACATGAAATCGGACACGAATCAGCGGCAAAAACACCTCCAAAAAGAGAGACTTGGTAAGTCTCAACGACTGGTTTATCCTGGTTAATGATGGTTAGTGATGGTTAATACAGATAATGCCCTGGTTCATGGTGGATAATGGTTGTTAATGCTGGTTAATATCATCCATTTTCTGCCAACTAGCCGCCTCACTTGAAAGGTAACACGACTGATGCAGAATGGGTGCCATTCGCGAATCCTACAGGGATCACCGAAGTTTCGTTCTTCGAATGTTTGGTCATGGGAAGTCCCCTGAAGCTGGGCCCGGTCAATTGTCATTTAAATTTAAGACATTTTAAGACACAACCACGGAATTTGCTTGACTTTCAGTATGAACTTTTTTTGGGGCTCCAATTTTGATCCACATTTATTGGACAAAAAGAGACAGGTTTTCCCTTAAACCAACCTAGTGAACATGGGATAGAAGGTGATGCCATCTAGGCAAAGTTGGTAGATATTACTTGAAATTTTGGGTGAATGAGCAAGTCTCTAAGGTGGTTTGTGGTAGATCTTACATGATTTTATGATATCAGACTATATCTTATTATCTTACCCTCTATATAGTGGTAATTTGATATAGTTCTGAAGTGTTCTGGAAGCGATGGCCGCCATGTCTCAGATTACCCAAAAAGATGGGGCATCCAGTTATAGATTGGTTCATGATTAAAAACCCCATCGAACTAGTTAGATATCCCCCATAAACTCAACCGTTATTGTAGTATCCTGGGGGCCCCACATTGTACCTTGTTTTTTTGTTTAAACTCCCATGGATCACCATAAAATCCCATGAAATTGCATAGAAGTCCCACGAATTCCCATCCATTCCCATAAAATCAATCAAGTCCCAGTCCAAATTCCCAGTCCAAATGGGGATGGGTCAAAACCCTGGTACCTAGTGAACCCCAAAATATAGCTGGGTTAAAATGGATGTGAATAACCCACTAAAAATGGATTACTATAGGTATTGACCCATACCCAAATGACTAGAGTTGGCTGCAGGGTAACTAATTTTTTTCCACGCAACGACCTCGCAAGGTCTGCCAATCCTGGTGTCCTGACAGAGGAAGAACGACATCAGCGATGGCTTTTGGACCAGCGACATGCCAAGCAACTGACCCAGCAAACCTTTGAGGCGCCGACCATCTGTGCCGTTGTTCAACACCATGTTGCTAGCATGTGGGGCCCCCAGTCTCCTTATGTTTGTTGTTTTTTTTGCCCATGAATACTATATTTACTATATGTAGTTATACGTATCATAAACCATAGTTATTGGAGTTGTGTTCGGCAACTTAGCTATCTTAGGGACCCCACGAATCGGGGATCTCCAAAACCAGAGGTTTCAATACTGAAATATCTAAAATAGTCGAATGTTGAATGATTTGGAGTTACCCCTATTTTAGGAAACCTCCATTGCATCTCATTGCATAATAATGGGGTAATGGAGTATATCACCAGTAATATGATATATATATATAATTATATGAACTAAATATAACTCAGGTGTTCAGAAACAATTTTCTTAGTGGATTTTTTTATGGGTGACTTCGTGGATTTTTCATGATGCTTTTTCAGGACATATCATGGTTTCATAATGGCTTTTTTTTTTGGATACCATTTGTGTATTAACCATATACCCATAGGATCCATGGTGCTGCTATGGTAACATGGATCCCATCAGTATACCCCAGTCATGTTAGCATATATACCAGCACCATGGATCCTATGGGATAGAATGTGGATTTCATTAACCATCAAACAAATGCATGCTATGGGATAATGAATGGGATATGAATGAGATATGTAACCCACATGATCTGATCTCTACTAACCACAATGTGGGGCCTCCGTTCGATAGCCAAGTTGATTTAGTTCACTACTGGTTCTATGACTGTTGGCTTGTGGGGTATAGCGTTAATTCCGCGATTTGCGTGCTTTACCATCTGGTAAACTAACATGACTATGGAAAATCACTATTTTTCAATAGGATTCAATAATATTCAATAGGTAAATCACTTTTTCAATAGCTTTTTGTATGTTTACCAGGCCGGGTAGCATTTGGTGATTGTTCACATGGCTGTAAATCCTCCGCGTCCCAGAAAACCTCCATCGATTAGCACGCCATGGAGCTCATTTCCAGGGGCTATGAAAAACCAGGGACATAACAATACAGGATGGTGCCCCCCAGTTACCCTCTGGTTATGACATTCACAGTTTGCCATGGTTTTTCGATGGCCCATAGAAATAGAGGTTTACCGTTCTTAATAGCATGGTGATTTTCTATGGCGAACTGTTAAATAACCAGATGGTACTGTATAAGTTGGTTTATAAAGCCCATAAAGACTAGTTCGTTAGATCTACCATAAACCATAATTAAGCAACTTTTTTACGGCAACTTCGTTATCTTGGGGGCCTGCTACGGGGTGCACAGGGATACGTATGGGCTCAGAAACACACGGAGCTACACCAAGTAGCTAACGAGGGGCTAGCAGCACACAGCTGCTCTGTTTTCCTTAGCTTCGAGCCCGGCTCAAGGCCTGCGGGCAGCAGTCAGTGAATTGCAAAAAGGTGACACATGATCCAACTGGTTTCAGATTGTCGCACCAGTCAAAATTCTTCTTGGATCATGTGTGCTATTGGGACAAGAGCTTGAAGCTCCTTCATTTGCTGTACAGCAGCACGACCATCCTTCTTTGCCTTCTTCTCGCTCTGGATGAAGTGTGGGTCGTACTTCAGTTTCCAGATGAACTGTTTTGCAAATTGCATCAGTCCAAGTCTTGCTGCTTTGGCCTTCTTTGTGAGAGCATCGGAAAGGTTCCAATCGCCTGAGATCCATATCAGCTTGGTGTCAGCCTCGCTCAACTGTTCCTTCAGTTGATAGCCCTGAAGTGCGCTTCGAGCATTTGAAAGACCAAGAAGCGGTCCTTCATTCTTGTTCACTGCATCGAAGACACCCTTGCTGTCGGTTGCCACCAAGCCCTTCACATACTTGACAAGGTCGTTGGCCTTCTCCAAAAGGTTGCCATCTTTGATAGCGCAGCATCCATTGAGTTGGCACCACATCCAACGAACACGGAAGTTGGAGTCTTCGCCCTCCAAGGTTGCTTGCATCTCGCCATCATTTGTAGAAATGGCCTTCCGGCGTAAACGCCAGGTCCTCCAAGAAACTGGATTGAGGCGACCAGCTTCTCCAGCAAGTTGTTCAGGTCCACCAAGACAGGTCAGTAGACCACCAGTTGATCCACCTTGTGGGCGGTTGTTGTGTGCCTGGTCGGCCATCGTCACAACAGTCCAATCTTGCCAGTGTTGTACATGAGGAAGTTGGAAAAGCCGAAGATTCATTGGATCCTTCTTCACGTCCTTGATCAGGTCAGCGATTTCCTTGGCCACCATGACACTCTTGTCAACTGTGAGCTCGGTCAGCAAAAGGTTGACACGGGCACAGGCTTGAATCTGTGTCTGTGTGCATGCCCATTGAAGTGCTCCAAGGCTTGCACGACAAGCTGCCATCTCTCCAGGAGAGAGCAAAGATTTTGGATCTCCACGTAGACGATCTTCAGGAATCGCAAGGTCGGGGAGGTTCTCCAGGTAGAAATCCTGACTCAGCTGCACGTAGCGCTCGTTGCGGTCATTCTTTACCTCAAGATCTACTCCAGAGTGTCGGAAGTTCTCCTCCTTGCGTGTTCCCCAGGCATAAGCCTTATCAATGGCTTGTCTCACAGAAAGCCACTTCTCATTGGTTGTATCGCCAGCTCTGTTGAAGTCGTCGACATGACCACCAACAAATCCGATCAGGTTGTAGCGGTCAGCAGGATTCTTTGGGTTAGGATTTTCTTCCACCCAACACCAGAAAGCTGCGTCTCCAATGAGTCGATGTCCGCCAAGACGTTGAAGAGTTTGATCCACATCAGTCCATAGGCCACGTGGAGCGGTAGCACTGCCATATACGTTGCGAAGTAGACGAAGAAGTTCTCCATCACTTGCTCCAAGTGCAGCACGAAGTTCTGGTACTCCAGGTGTCCAAAGTTCTTGAGCTTCAACGCTGTCACCACCCGTTTGCAGAAAGGCCGTTTTCATGTCAAGGCCTTCCAGAGTCCAGCCACGTTGTGCAACCGTGATGAGACTCAAGTGTCTCATGAGTTGGCTCTGCACAGGTGCCGTTGTGTTGAAGGTCGACAGTTCCAAGTCCGGGTGTTGAAATCCCAAGAGAACTATTCGAGCCTTGGCCTTGCGGGTCAAGGAGGCATCATGAGTGGTGTTGGGGTTGTTCTTGCGGTCATCAGCTGCTTCGGCACGACTCTCTTCTGGTACCCCTTTCCACACCAATACCCATCTCGATTTGAGCACCCTTCCAGGGTTCTCAGCTCGTTGTTGCTCCTCGTAAGAAAGACAACGACGTACTGCTTCAGTTCGAAGAAAACTGCTCACTTCAGACTGCTTGGCATTCTCGAAGAGCTGTTTCTCCTCAGGAGACAAGCGTTTGTAGTTCACTTCTGCTCCAGCCATCTTCTTCGCCAGGAACATCACGGGATTGCGCATGAAGTCTTTCTTCTTGCGGTTCGACTCCAAGTCCAGCTCAAAGTTGAAGACATACCCTTCGTCCACAGAGCGAAGAGCTTCCAGAAATTTGAACTCCTTCTCGCTTTCCTCGTCCTCATCAGCTTTGAGTCGTTTGGACTCTGGTTCATCAGATGTTCCCTCACCAGCTTCAGCTCGCTTCTCGGCAGGCTCACGAGGTTCAAGAAGAGGTGTTGTTGAGGACACTGAGGTTCTCCTTGGTGACGGTGGAGGTGACTTCGCAGGTGTTGTTGGTTCATATTCATCTCCAGGTTCTTCTTCAGCATCATGTTTGAAGCGCTTGTTGTCGGGCTCCAGAAGGTCTTTGGAGTCCGGCTCGTACACATTCACAGGGTCAAAGGTCTCGTCAACGGTAGAGACAGGTCTACCAGGCTTCGGAGGTGCAAGGTAGTCTGGATGTCCACTATCCATAATTGGAAATTTGCCGGGAAAGCGTACTTGGGGTTTGACAATGGTCGCGGAGCCAGGTTCGTCAGGAAGAAAAGGTTGCTCCACCTCGTCCTCCGCAGGCTCCTCCACGGTGATGTCAATGAACTCGCGTTTTGGAAGCACATCGCTCAGCTGCTTCCAACGATGAGACTCGTCACCCTTGATCTCGAAGAGATGTTGTTCTCGGGCAGAAAGAGGTCTCACACTGTGGACTGAGGTCTTGTAGATCCGAGTTCCAAGTATCACCCAGACCACATGCTTCCTGTCTTCTTCTTCTTGTCCAGGTACAAGTTCATGAAACACTACGCGACCAGGTCCGACCCAACGCGGTCGTCCCACATGTTTGTGTCCACCCTTCTTTCCTGCATAGACAGAGTGGGGCAAAAACTTTCTCCAGATGTAGACAGGCTGTCCCATCTTGAAAGTCCTCAGAGGTTGCCTCACGGCTGAATTTTTCAGCTTGGACATCACAGTTCTTGCCTTTGCCTTTCTCGCACACTCTTCAGCCAGTTGCCGTTGATTCAGAAGTCGGAGAAACTCATGTTGTTGTCTGTCGATTGGCAGACTCAGCTGTTGACGAAGTTCACCGTCATCAAGTTCAGCTTGTTTGCCAAAAGCCCATTGAATGCTTGTGTAGCCCTTGACAAACTCGGTGTTGTTCATGGCACTGGTTGCCATAGCCAGCGTAAGAACTGGGTCTTGGTCAGGAAGAGATTGTTGTATCAGGGAGGCAGTCTCCTTGATCTGACCCACAGCTCGTTCAGAGATGCCATGGGCCCAGCTTTCTCCATCAGGAGGTGTTGCAATCTCAATTCCCAGATCCGCCATGAACTCTGTGATCTTGTAGCTCACCAAGGTGTTGGCATTGTCCGGCACAAGACATTTGGGTCGAGGCATGCTCATCAACCATCGAGTTGTGATGACCTTGATCATCATGTCTGTAGTCTCGACCTTGTTCTCGCCATGAGCATACACGAAGAGGGTCTCAGTGATGCGATAGCGCGTAGCCAAGTCGATCATCATGACGAACTTGACCTTGGTGTTCTGGTTGGGCACCGTCCATTCCGCCAAGTCGATACCCACTTGTTCCCAGGCCACCGGCAATGGTCGCATCGCTGCAGGAGGGATCTGTTTCGAAGAAACACCACCCTTGACCATCTCCTCACAGGTTGAGCATCGAAATTTGCGGGCTTGTTGAATCTTCCAAGGTTCCACTTGAGCATCCACCAGCATGCGCACCAGATTTCGTGTCGACGGGTGACCAGCCGCACGGTGGAATTGGTTGAGTTGTACCTCCCATTTGCGTAGAGCATCTTCAGAAGGAGGTTGATCTTCACCGTCGGGCTGTTGATCTTCTCCAGAGGGTTGTTCTTCTCCAGCACATAACTCGCCAGGGGCATTGTAGTGCTCGGCCACAAAACCTTCGAATGTTGCTCCATCGTCAGCTGCAGACATCCACAAAAGCTTTGGCCAGCGGTAGGGGAGCAACTGAGAACGAAAGTTCCTTGCAATGGCTCGGCAAAGTGCAGGAGGGTAGAAGGCTGACTTGTTAGTCTCCACACCATGCAACCACTCGTGAGTGTGATTGCCCACACAAGTCTTGTTGCGGAACTCACTGTAGAAGTACAAGCTGCTTGTTCTGATCATCCATGGCTTCAGCACCAGATTGCCTGATGCCGTCTTCAGTCCATAGCGACAACCATCGATGCGGCAGTCCCAGGTCTGTCCAATCTCGTTGAAGAGTTCCTCGATGATGGATTCTTTCCAGCCACGGCAGTTGCGAGGCCACTCCCAGTAGATCTCCACAGTGGGGTCGTAGGCGATCACGGCTCCGATAAATGCCTTGAGGAGGCGAAACATCTTTCGCTCCCTGCGTCTCTTCTTTTGTAAGATTTCTTCTCGGCCTTGATAGTTCAAGTCCACCCAGCTGCAGAACAAAGTACACATCGTAGAGATCCAAAGCTTTTTGGGGCGTTGGACCTTGAAGAGCTCGAACAGCACCGGGTATGTTGCCGGCTTGTAGAGGTCGAAACCTTGCTCCAAGTTGATGCGCTGAGTTGGTATTCCTTCAGCTTCACATGCTTGTGCAAGTCCAGATTGAGGAGAGCAGAACATCTCCCACACCAGTGGCTTCTTGTCGTAGATCAGCTCGGAAATATTCGCCACCAACTTGTCGTTCAGAAAGTGCACCAAGTCCATCAGCTTCTGGCCAGCGTAGAGAGGGAGCTTCTTGATGTTGAGGTCTGCATCTTTCATGGGTTCCCAGATGCTGGCTCCATCTCTTCCTCCGAGTCGTGCACCACTTGGACACGGCTTGCGGCCAGATCCATGATGTGCTTCTTCTCCGCTTCCGTCAGGTGATCCATAGGATTGAACTCCGCAGGAGGTTCCTGAGGGATGTCCTGCCAGCTTGAGGTCGATGAGGTTGGAACCGCCTCGACATAACCTTCTGAAGGCTGCGTCAGCTGACTCGCCTTCATCTTGATCTTTGGCTTCGGCTTCGCTGACATCTTGGCTGCGGCGGCAGCTTTTGCTACCTTCTCCATGTTCTTTGCGAGGTCGCGTTTGGCTTCCTCCATGATGTGCTCGATGCGGATCTCCGCAGTCACCTTGTCGATGAACAGCTGAACCAGCTCCTCCGTGGGCTCCACATTCTTGGGAAGGTTGTCCTTCAGGTCGTTGAGGGCACGTCGAACCATCTCCGGGTTGAAGACCTGCATGGAGTTCGACGGGGCACCCATGCTCGGAGTGTAAGACACCCTGAGACCGCACTTGGTGCAGTGGGTCCACTTGGCCCACTTGTTGCCCTGTGACTTCCCTGGCTGGTGATCGCTGTGACACGGCCAGCCCTTGCATCTGGGATCTCGAAGATCCGGGCCCATCTCTCGTGAGAGGTCTGGTTGGAACGTCTTCTTCTCGTCCTTCGCCATGAGGTTGTTGTCGTGAACGCAAACTCGTGGGGATTACACCGCCCATGAGCCGATCTGCTTGCTGCAGGTGAAGACGACGATTCCAAAGCTGTTCAAACAGGTCTCTGTGAGTTGGCTGACAAGTGACATCGGTTTTGACTACAGTACCGCATTCAAACTCCAAGGTTGACATGTTGTTGACATCTTCAATGGCTTCAAAGGTGAACATGTTGACATCACTCGCAAGAAAACCTTCAAAACCTTCACCTTGTGGAACTGTGACATGTAAACTGGGATGACCATCATGAAGTGTTTTTCCTTCACACAAATAGTTGACCAAATCGACCATGAAATGACCCTTGGCATTCACAGGCATGTAGAAAGGTTTCGCGTTTGCATGTTGAGCACAGACTACATACCCATCAGTGAAGTCGATGATCAAACCGTTTTGACGTATGAAATCCATCCCCACCAAGACTGGTACATGTTCGAATCCAGGTTTCAAAGGAGTTTCAGGATCAGGTAGAACAAAAGCTTCAAAAAACTTGTTGGTGATGCTGGACTGGATTCGAATCAGGTACAAGGCTTGGCCCCATGCTCCACTTCCAAAACGGAACTTGGGCCGCTTTTTCGCATCCACAGAGATGGCTGCACTGTTGTCTTGGCTGATCACGGCTTGGATCAGATTGCGGATGGACGTTTCCGGTCCAGCACTGCAGGTTGCACCACAGTCCAACATGCCCAGGCTATTGCCTTCCTTCTCGATCTTCCCAAGGTTCAGGTGTGTGAGGTCTTCCTTCTCGGTGTCAAACTGAAGGCCATAAGCGTCATAGTCGCTCATGCTGTAGGCATTGACGTTGCCTGAGTTCTTGGACTTGAATTTTCCACCACCCTTGGACTTGCCCTTCACAAAGGCGTAGAGGTCCTCCATGGTGAAGTTCATCTTTCCACCTCCCTTTGGCTTGCCCTTGCCTTTGTGCATGACGTAGTCCTGGTAGTAGGGCTCCTCAAGGAAGAAGGAAACACGTTTGCCACCTTTTCCACCACGGTGAGGGGCATTACGATCTGGACATTCTCGAGCCAGATGGTTGCCACCACATATGAAGCAACCCGTCCTTGAAGAGGCCGCTTGAGAGCCAAAACCCCTGTCCTTCTTGATCAGCTGTGTAGTCCGTTGGGCTTGACTCCATGAGCGTTCAGCCGCAAGAGCTTCTCCATCGTTGGCCGTATCGGCCGCTTCTTGTTCTTCTCCATGTTCTTCTTCAGGTTGAGCTTCCCATCCATCATCATCCCAGCGCACTTGCGCTGCCCATTGATCATCCCACCATGAGGAATCATCCCACGACCAGTCATCGCCCTCGGCCATGTTGAAGTGATGAGGTCCACCGCCAGGATGTTGAGAATGATGTTGATGTAGACGATGTTGATGAGGGATCTGCTCATCGAAGAGAACCATGGGCGCCGAAGAAATGGAGTCATAGTCCAGCTGATTCTTCGTTGATGCCAGAATGGAACGCCACTCTTCACTCTTCAAAGCAGCACCACTCAAAAGTCGCCAGCCACGAAGTTGATTGAGGATGAAGGAGTCGGCAAGGTTGAGTCCGCGTTGACTCTGCACACTCCGCAAGGATCGTGCTCGACGAGAACCGGCATCTTGTCCAGAAGGAGGAACTTGTCCAGAAGGTGGTACTTGTCCAGGTCGTTCATCATCAGAAGCACGAGGAAGGTCAGCGGCAGGTTCTTCAGTAGGTACTCGTTTGTAGCCAGGTCGAGAATCACCACCAGCTGACTCCGACTCAGACTCCGAGGTCTCATCAATGGTCTCCAAGTCCTTCATGACGTCACCTTGCGCGCCCTTGAGCTCCATGAGTGATTCCACAAACTCCTCATAGAAGAGGCTCTCACGAACCAGATAGGCATTGATGTTCTCACCATTGTGACGTCTGTACCCAAAGTACTGAGTCATCGTTGCCGCAGAGTTGGGAATCTTTTTCCTCACCAGTGGAGAGGACTCAAGGCGTTTCAAGACATTTTTCACACCATCAGGTCCAGCGATGTCCAAGTGACTCCAAGACATCGCAAGAAGTCGGGCAGGACCTGTGAGCTTTGATACCAGACGAGGACCCAACAGGCTTCGCTGAGATTTGCGAGTCCCCATGTAGAACCAAAGCACCTCACGTTGGTAACGGCGCCATCCACGAGGATTTCCGTCCCATGATGGAACTACCTCTGCAGTTTGTTTGGAATTCTCCATCTTGTCAAAGATCTGGAAAAAGGGACCGTCTCCAAATAGTCAAAGGATAGGTCAAATGCAAGGAAAAAGAAAGCTCAGTCCTGATCGTCCGGGACCAAGTCAAAGTCAAAAACGTCGAAGGTGTCCACAAGGTTCAGACCCTTCGAGACGTAGACGTAGCTGTGCGTTGTCCCACCGTGGGTGGCAGGATATGGGCAGGAGCGTTGTCCACCAGAAAGTTCCAGGCCAGCAAGGCAGCTCCTGGGTTCCGGTTACGTAGCACCCACCACAGGTTGATCAGCTCCAAGTACCCAGCTCGGACGTCTAAATCCTCACCAGGCTGTGGCTCTGGATCCGGTTCAGGACGTTCTTCTCGAGGAAGTGTTCCCTTATCACCTTTGCCAGTTCCCTTTCGGTCTCCTTCAGCAGCAGTTGGTCTTCGAACTGGAGGAAAGGCTGAGAACACAGGTGGATGTGTCCCAGAGTGGCCACTTCTCGATCTCACCGCCGATCGCGATCGAGATCGAGCACGGTAGTGGCTAGGGCGTCCACTACCACCACCACGTCCACCACCTCGACCACTGGAAGATGAAATCTTGCCAAAGATCTCGGCAGTGATGAAGCACGTCCCACCACCAAAGGCTCCGGTGCCAATGCTACGGGGTGCACAGGGATACGTATGGGCTCAGAAACACACGGAGCTACACCAAGTAGCTAACGAGGGGCTAGCAGCACACAGCTGCTCTGTTTTCCTTAGCTTCGAGCCCGGCTCAAGGCCTGCGGGCAGCAGTCAGTGAATTGCAAAAAGGTGACACATGATCCAACTGGTTTCAGATTGTCGCAGGGCCCCATCCTGTAGAAGCTAGGAAGATTCATCAAAAGATTACCCTTCGGAGTCCTCAATCTTGGCTGGAAAATCCTCCAGTTCGATTTAGTTCGAGCATAGGAACATATGAAAAACAAAACACTATCTGGCTGGTGGTTTGGAACATTTGTTATTTTCCATTTCATATATGGGATAATCCTTCCCATTGACGAACTCCATCAAATTTAAAGCTGGATAATATCCCACCAACCAGCTATAAACGGAGGCTTGGGAAAACAACATCTATAATTTAATGTTGGATTATCCAGTAAGGCATTTTTGATTTGCGGAGGGTATAGAGTTCATAAGCCAAACTTTGGAATCATCAATGAACATTGGAAAGCACCAATGAACAAATATCTGAGATGAATCATATACATCCATATACTATTTTTTCTAACTATAAATTGGGAGACGATGTACCAAACAAGGAACAAAACTGGCACTCCGACTCCCAGCACAAAATGAAAATATGCACGGACATACAGTAATACATAATATATATATATATGGGAATATGATACAGGTATTAAAAGACAATGGGCAAATAAATGCCGTACACGGACATGTACATCAAAGTTCTATTAAACATGCATATGTATATAATCATATATATTATATGTATATACATGTGTGTTTGTAAATTATTATATATATATATTGTCAACTTCAACGGTTGATCTAGCTGTTGACAAGACATGTATAACATACATGCCCAATATCATACATGAACTGGTAAACCCAACATAAACAACGCACATTTGGCGATGGGGATGGTTGGTGAATTGCCTATAGGATGATTTTGGTGAGTAGGTAATTTTATATAAACTATTATGAAATTATTGGGTTTACCACATTACTATCAAGATATAAATGTTTGTAGTAATAGTTTATAATATATATATATACATATTGACATTTGTATCCGTATATGTCCAATTTTGTATCCCATTGTATTCCCATTAAACCTCCAAGTTTTCTGTAAACAAGTCACCTTTGTTATGCAAAAAAAAACACAACTGTCAGATTTTTGATGATTTTTGTCTTCTCTGTATTGTGGTTAAACCCATTCAACCTCCATTTTTTTGGTTACACCCAAAAGGGTCACTGCACTCGAAAGGCCTTCCTGGACAGCTGGTATGCAGCACCTCTATGGGCAGGCACTTACTGGGAGTTTGCCAATAGTTCCCAGTGTGTTGCTGTTACCCTCTGGTAATTTAACATAGCTATTGAAAATTGCCATTTATAGTGGATTTTCCCATTAAAAATGGTGATTTTCCATAGTCATGTTAGTTTACCAGAGGGTATTGGTTATTATCAGATTGATGCGGGCAAAACAATGCCATAAACCACCCATTTGGGAATGGTTTATACCTGCTTATTATTGTTATATTAAGCATATGATTGATTCTTATAATTGATAATGGATTATTATTGTCGCTATTATGATTATCCTTATAATGATTACTAGTGTCAGAACATTATTAATATTATATATGCAAGTGTATAACAGCTATAACTTATGAAGCCATCTATATATGATATTTACATGGTCTTATGAGGTAGAACCTGAGGTGGTTGTGTTTTGTTGCCCAGATGTGGGTTTGGGTACCCAACAGCAAGATGGTGGCTGAAACCGGCAGCAGTATCTTACATAGTGAGCTAAAAGCAACTACAACTACGCAATCATTGACCATGCTATAACCCATATGCTCCATGTATGGTATATTTACCTACAAAACTGGGCAATTTTTGGGGTAAATGTAGGTGTGCATATACCAGCACCATGGAGCATCTGGGTAATATACACATACATACCTACCCATACTGGTCCCATTACGCTTCATGTGTCACCGGTGGTTCATGTGCCACTTGCCAAGCATTGCCGTTCGCATCGCCAAGCAGGTTTGAAAGAGAGACGACCAGACGTCTATTCGCAGATGTTTGGCTGCCATGTTTTCTTTGTGCAAAGACGAGTGCAAGGGGAGCAACTTTCATGGAAAGCATAGGTTCGTCCACAGCAACTGGGGCTATCCTCAACATAAGCCATTTACAACTAAGCTCAAATCAGGTGACCTATTCTTGGTTCTATGATATCCCCAGATTCGTGGCTGGCAAATACCACGGTAATACGGTAATCCTGGGATCGATTACATCGTTGGATGGGTTTCTAAAGCTACAAATTGATGGATGAGTTATCAACATTTAGCCATCAATCATAGTAGTCTATGTATATATATATTATGTATATACACATTTATCTCTTCTTATATAGAGCTATCTGTATATCTACATTGATCTATATATCTATATTAATCTACATTTATCTACAGTAAACTTTTCCATAACTATATCAATTCACCAGTGTGTTTTTCTACCCCTTTCAGACAACCAAGGCTTGAGAAGAGGAGACAGACTCGTCCGTTGGCGTCTCAATGGACTAGCTGAGCCAGATTGACATGGGGAACACTCAATGAGTTTCCCCAAAGGAAATCCCAATTTGCCAAAGCTTATCCATATTTCACTGTTTGGTGGTTTCAAACATGACAACCTCTTTGTCCATTTCATATATGGGATGTCATCCCAACCCCATTGACGAACTCCATGATTTTTCAGAGGGGTAGGTCATCCACCAACCAGCCATACCATTTTGAACAATTTGGTATGCTGAATCCACGAAGATGCTACCAATTAACCAATACACCACATTGTATGAATTGATTTGGTGAAAATGACAACCACAGTCAACGATAAAACAATAGTCAACCATAAACCATAGCATTGTTTCCTTTTCAGAAAAAAGAACTGTGAAACCACATAGGTTGTGATTGTAAACCTATTGTAAACCTTAGTCAACCATAGAATTGTCATAAGCCTTAACAAAAACATGGGTTGACACCTCGCTCTGCCACAGTTCAAAGACGAATTTCATGGGGGTTCCACAGCAGCAATTCACCAGCTCAATCACTTGGTGACACCTCGTGCCAGCAGAAAAAGTTGACCCATGAATCCATTGTGAAAGAATCTACAACGACCTCAAGTCCTACCTGAAAATGGTTGTAGTGTAGGACTATTTACCTAGATTTGAAAGGAATCTCTATATATATATACATATATGTATTTGTTACCATGTTCATTCTATGGAAGGATTCATTCTGAATAGTAGTTTGATGAACAATTACATCATACTGGGGAAACCATCAACACTGGCCCAACAAATAGGGTATGACGACTCGGCTGCGCAAAGTTCTGAGGCACTTAGCAGCACATTCACTGCTGGGGTTGGAGCCTTGAGCGTTGTGTTGATGGGCTAATTGCCCCCTATTCATGGCCATTTTTAATAGGGAAAGTCGATGAACCGTCATCAACCATCATTAAACCATATATAACAATATTAAACATCTACCATCTGGTTATGACTAACATAGCCATGGAAAATCCCGAAAATAAATGGAGGTTTTAAGAACGGCAAACCATCTATAAATGGGCCATTTTCCATGGCGAAACGTTAAATAACCAGAGGGTAACTGGATTTTTGGATGTTCTCCAAAAAAATGAGACACACCCAGATGCGACGGGAATTCGTTCGCAAAAAAAAGTGGTCTTTGACCCATTGAAAACGGAGATGGCACCCCAATGGCACCCCAAAAACGTCAAGGGCATGGGCTGTTTGGCTCAGTCTATTATCATATTATTACTATTATTATTATTATTACTATTATTACTATTATTATTATATATATAGCATATATATATAGCATATAATATAATATAATAATAATAATAATAATATGTCATATAATAATAATAATCTTCACCAAGGCTCAGCCTCGCCTCCCAGCCGAACTTCCGGCCTCACTTGGGGCAACACGTTCCCTTCTGGTGCCCCGGCAGATGGCTGTTGAGATTTCTGCCGGGCTGACCCCATGGCTGTTCTTAGGTGGTTAAACCATGAACATCTAGGGAACATGGTGATTGAACCAGCACTTTAATGGAATCTAAGTGGATTTTGTGGGAAACTTATGAGGATGAAATGGTGAAATTGTGATTTAACCCATGAAAATATGGGGAAAATTGAGGTAGAAGAATATGGATATTGTTCGCTGATATATGATAGCTGTGTGTTGGTCTAGTTCACTGCAATAACTAGTTCTGTTGGGTTGATAAGGGGGATATATACTTTTATAAATGGGCTTATAAAACCAACAAACATAGCGTTTTGGGGCCCCACTATGTGGGCACTTGGGAGTGCAGTTCCAGTGAACTATGTGGATAGATTTTACCATATTCCATACCATATGAATTACCCCTTTTATATATATATACATACACATGGTATATCCCCAGTATGAGTATAAACCATGGATCCTAACGATGTACATCGTACGACTCGGGGAATCCTCCAACAGATTCTTTGTCCAGATGGCTGTGTTGCTACTGTAGCTACTCTCTAGTGATTTCAGAATGGCACTTGGAAATGCCGATCTTGACTGACAAAATGAACTGGATGTGGAAAATAATCTTCCATAGAAAGAGTTTTCCACTTCCAATTTTTCCAATTGTATTGAAGATTTTCCAATTTTTTCCATCCTTTTCCATAGAAAGATATAGACATCTAAGAGATGGTGGGTTTTCCATGTGTAAATGGGGCATTTTCCAGTGCCAGGTTTGTTCACGGACCGGGACACTCCGTAAGATTTTGGCAGCACAAATCCAGGTAAATGAGAACCTGACACCACCAGCAAAATTCATGATTGCTACGGTCAAGCAACCCGAAATTACTTTCGACTATCTTATATTTTGCGGTGGTATTTTTAAGCTGCTAGTTGATGATGGTATCTTTAGCTATAGTATTTTTCCGGGACATGTTGGCAGCCCTTTGTTTGGCCAGTCAGGATGAGGAACCCCACTGGCTGCCCCCCATTCACAGGTAATCTGGCTGGGTCAATCTTTAGCTATATAAGAGTATAATATGATGATACAGCTATATTATTATAAGAGTATTAATAATACTATGATTAATACATATATAGACATCATATATGTCTAGATATGTTAAATTATGTTAATGCAGGCATATTACATATACATATATTCACATGCACATCTATACTTGTCTGAACTTGGTTTTCCGGCAGAATGCGACACGAATCAGGTATGTTTTTGGTGAGCTGGACAGCAAGTTTGCTGAGATCGGGAAAGACTTGGCAGCATGTTCGTCTAAGGTGCGACTGGTACGCTGCCACTGGGCCACTGGTTCATTTGTAGTTATCAGCTGATGACTAAGCTGAACCAACAGAAACTTCGGATTCTGATTTTTTAAACTACAAGAGTTGCCACATCCTCACCAGAGTTTTATTGGTTTGTATCAGATTTCCACTCCTCCATCATCTATGTTCCATTAAATCAGTGGCTTTGGATGATTGGTTGTTCTAATTTTTGGGGTTGATGGAGCCATTTGATCCCAATGAACTACCGATTTTTGGAATGATAAAATCAGTTAGACTCACATGAACTGATTTTTTCTTTGGAATGATCAAATGACTCAATCTTTTTTCAGCATACATCATTGGTGAAGACTGGTGAAGATCGGTGATGTTCCCTCAAGAGGCCAGAACATCTCCCGGTGATTCCCAAATGGATTGCATGTGTCGACAGTTCAAAATGCGACGGGAACAGAACATCCTCGAATTGGCCGGCAAACGGCCGTGGTTTAACCGTGAAGATGGGGATACTTCAGCTATTCAATACATAACTTGCACATGTTTGGTCAGTGGTTACACAATGTCCATGGCTATTTTGATGGATTTTACCAGCTAGACACCTCCATCTTTTTGGGGAGTTTCCAATTCCCATGTTTGATTTTTAATGGTTACAATCGATTTTACAGTCGTGTTTTTCCACGTCCCTGGAATGATTTTTCTGCCAGGTCCATTCCCTTCCATGTGGTCATGCTGTGGTAGAAGAATGCCCCAGAGAGGCTCTCCGAAGCGACGCTGCGGGGATTTGATTTCACCAAACCCCGGTGACCTGAAAAATCGCTGATTTTTCAGCGCCATTCGAACGGTGGTTGATATCAAGCCTATTCATGAAGCCTCATTAGGATATTTAGGATGGTGGGGAACGCTTTCAGGCACTGAATTTGCTAGCGAAGGCAATCTGAAGTTGGACTGGACCTTGAAATCGAGGACTTTGACGACTTTTGCATCATGCAATGTTCAAAGGCCTGCAATAAATTGGTTTGTCTCAAAATAGGATACCTCTAAATCCGTTAGACATCATTTTCCCTGTTAAAGTGTAGCATTTTTTCGGAAAAAAAACACCATTTTCAGGTCCTTATCCCCAACTTATCCCCAAGTTTTTCCCTGAAATGTGTGGTTTTTCACCAGAACCACAACTGGAGGTTTATGGTTGGGTCCAGCTCCGATGAAGGTGGCCGATTTGCTGTTAAGCCTGGTGAAGCAATTGCCTTCTCCATCTGCTCCAAAGGCCGGCACGTCTGACATGTGGGAGAATTTCACATCTTTTTTAAGGTACAGTAGAAAGTAAAACATCACTAAGTTGGATGTTTTTTATGTTTCATTTTTTTTGGAGGTTGCGTTATGATGCTATATGTGTAGTATAACCTTTTTTTACCCGGTGCAAACACGGCGATTCTCCCGCCATTACGAGATGGCGTGGGTACCGGGTTCAACTGGTGGTTTCATCTTGTAATGTTGGTTGGCTTTCACATCTTTGGGAGGGTTGAAACTAACAATTCAATAATTTGTCCAAGGCCAATCAAGAAATCATTTATCCTCCGGCAAAGGAACGTTCATACGAAGGAACACATCTTTTGTCATTGATATCTACATGGGGTTTTGGCCAACATGGGAATCTGTAGCAGCAAGAAACGCAACGCATATATCAATCAAGAGATTCATAGGAGCCTGGTTGGTGATTTGGAACATGATTTTTATTTTTATTTTGCCATATATTGGGACTAATAATCCCAACTGACGAACTCCATGATTTTTCAGAGGGGTAGGGCTCAACCACCAACCAGGATAGGAACCACTAGGTAACAAAAAATAGTGATGGACAATGTACATCAATTTACCATCTGGTTATGACTAACAGTTCGCCATGGAAAGATCCACCCATTTTATTTATAGGTAAACCATCTATTTCTATGGTCCATCTATACCATGGCGAACTGTTAAATAACCAGAGGGTATATCACATTAAATCCCATTAAACCACCATAAAATCCCATTAAATCACATTAAATCCCATTACCATTTTTTAAAAGGTAAATCATCGAACGAAATGGGCCATGGCTTCTATGGCATCACTGGAGGCACCGAATTTGGCCTTTGATGATTTTGGATGGTCACAAGCGATGAAACTCCCAATTTTTTCCCGCTGGGAAAAAGGGGTAGTGAAAACAACGTCATCTTTCACATCTCAAAAAGTTTATGTCACATTTTTTGGTGGGTGAAGTTATCATTCTTTTGAACTGATCATATTTTCTTTTGGCACTAAGTCCCTTATTGTTTGGCTTTTTTTTTGGCAAATTGATAGCTAAAAAATGGTGAAATCTCCCTTCAGCCAGGTGAGTCACCATTATGGGATAAGTTATTGGGATAGGAATGGAATATAGTAGTATATTATATATTGAATAATGAGATTATATAATGGGATAAAATATAAAATAGAATATATAATATGGGATAATGATGGGATCATACATCTATATATGTAGATGTATATATATACACATAATAGTATGAGCCATGGAATATTAGTTTTTTACATTCTGGTAAGCAAACATGGGGCGCTGAAAAATCTCACATTTACTTCGGTTATGTTACAGCGGCCATGCTTAACGGATGGTACAAGCCCATCATATCTCACCAATTCACCATTGGTTTGCGAAATACCACCATTCCCGCCCCCCGATTATATTATCATAGGTCTGAAAAATGACGTATTATTCCAGAATATGTTTTTTTCTGTTATGAACTCGCACAATTATTGATCCACAATACCAGTATTACCATTGTTGTTATCCTTGTCTATCCAGCCGCAGCTTCGATATAATTTTTGGGCTAAGTCCCTTTTCAAGTAGAAATTGGATCCATAGTATATTATTATTGTAATAGTAAGACTTATATGCTATTATTCCGTAAATCATATGTCTATAATCCTTATCTTATTATTGTTGTCCACTGGATTATTCTTATATTATTGTTACTATTGTATTATCATTATTGTTACTATTATCATGATTATGATGGCATTATTACATGTTTTATCCTTTTTTTTTAAAATCTATATATCTTTATTCATATGGTTACTAATAACTAAGAAGATCCAAATTTATTTATATCATTATTAACTATTGTTACTAAATATTACTAATATAGAATGAGTGTTCCATCTTCAAATCCTTCCAGCCCGAGGCCAAAGTTCTCCAACTCACGGCTGCCTGGACTGAGCCCATTCAACTCTTGCTGAAGGCCGTGGCCAATTCCCAGAGTTGGAAAATTCACGGGAAACCCATAGGAAACCCATAGGAAAGCCATAGGAAACCCATAGGAAAGCCATAGGAAAGCCATAGGAAACCCATAGGAAACCCATAGGAAACCCATAGGAAAGCCCTAGAATTCATGGTAAAAACCATGGTGTTTCCGGTGATTCGATTGTCACGTCGGAAAACAGTTTTTTCTCATCCCAGCCATCGTTTGTTTCCATGGAATCATCCCGATGAGGGGCCGAAGTGTGAAATTACCAAATACCCTCTGGCCCTCTGGTTATTTAAGAGTTCGCCATGGAAAATGGCCCATTTATAGATGATTTTCCCAGCTACAAACCTCTATTTACATGGCTATGTTAAATAACCAGAGGGTATCTAACATGTCTAATTCAGAAAGTTGGGAAATACCCATGAAATATCTCCAGTTATATCTAGTTATACTGTTCAGTTTGGGGAATCATCAATGGCCAAAGTCTTATGAACTCCTCAACCCAAAATTACTTTACTTCGTGTGATCCCCACCATGACATTTATACATTTTCTTACTGGCAAATCTTCTGGCATTCTATCTGACATATCTTCTGACATTCTATTTGACATTCTATCTGGCATATCTTCTGGCATATGATCTGGCATATCTATCTGGCATATCTTCTGGCATTCTATCTGGCAAATCTTCTGGCATTCTATCTGGCATTCTATCTGGCATATCTTCTGGCATATTATCTGGCATTCTATCTGGCATATCTTCTGGCATATCTTCTGGCATATCTTCTGACATTCTTTCTGACATTCTTTCTAACTTTCTTCTGCACATTCTTTGTCCCATATCTTCCTACATGAGGTCCGGCAGGGAACACTTGGCGTGGATACTCGCGGTTGAGGTCCGGCAGGGAACACTGGGCGTGGATGGTCGTGGTTGAGGTCCGGCAGGGAACACTGGGCGAGGATGGTCGTGGTTGAGGTCCGGCAGGGAACATTGGGCGTGGATGGTCGTGGTTGAGGTCCGGCAGGGAACACTGGGCGTGGATGGTCGTGGTTGAGGTCCGGCAGAGAACACTGTGGATCGCGGGTCGCAGTTGAGCAAGGACGACGAGGACGACGAGGAGGACGAGGAGGAGGAGGAGAGGAGGACGAGGCAGGAGGAGGCGGAGGAGGAGGAGGAGAAGGAGGAGGAGGAGGAGAAGGAGGAGAAGGAGGAGGAGGCAACTGACATAAAATCTAACAACCCTCACCTGGCAGGTGGGGAAAAAATCTGAACACCGAACCATCCTTGAAACACATTTCTATTTACAGGTGTGCTCCAGATGGATGATAGATGTCCGTTTTCCACACGCTTTGTTTATAAAAATAAAGGGCTTAAAGTTATGAGATCTTCTGGGAGCCAAGGACGAAATTAGCAAATAGCATAGTTGTCAATATTTTGTCAATATGTTGTCAATTCTTCACCAGTTTAGGAAAAAAAATCTAGGGAATTGGCAAAACAATGACAATTTTCAAGGGAATTAACCATGAGTTACAGTAGTAGGGGATTTACAGATTCTTGGGACCATAATGCGGGGGGTGTTCAATGTTGGGATGGGATACACATCTTGCTGGTGTTCTTGCTGGGAGCCCAAGAGCTGCAATCAGACCCCATATGATACCGTAGTTATTTTCATCCATTGGACTTTGCAATGTTAACTTTGGGGAGTCTCCAATTACTAGAAAACCAAGGACAAAAATACTTTTTGACCGACTATGATCTTACCCATCGCCCAACGGCAGGCACCTCTGCTGCTGTCCAGAGGCGATTTGATGCCGCAACGCTCCGGGGTGCTGCTGGTCTTGCAGGTGCCGTGGAAAATTCATGGTGAGTCTTCCGGGAGCTGAGTCATGAAAGAAATGGGGAAAATGGCTGAAAATGGAAGTTTTAACATGTTTTAACATGTTTTAACATGTTTTAACATGTTTTAACATGTTTTAACTGTTTAACCTCAGAAAATGGTGATTTAGAGCTAAATTTGTTGAGTTCACTACATTGAGTAGGGGTTGTTGGAGATATATCATGATATGTCACCGGAAAACCAGGTCTTGCATAATCCCAGATCAACATCAATCAACAATAATATGTCCAATGGTTAGTAGTGGGGCCCCATCTATAGACTGATTGGTGGTTTGGAACATGAATTTTATTTTTCCATATATTGGGGATAATAAACCCAGCTGGCTAATATTTTTCAAGATGGTTAAAACCACCAACCAGTTTAGATATATCCACCAGAAATCCTAGTTATTGCAATGGGGGCACACGATGTAAGTTAGTTTAGTCGTTTAGTTCACTACAACAACTGTTGGCCTGATTGGGGAGGATGTTGAACTAGTTAGATGGGGCTATAAACCAACTTATAACATCTTGTAAGTAGGCGGCTCCGTTATGTACAAATTCAGTTATGTATCTTCAAGGAAGAAGTTTGATATAGTTTGATCATGTTTGATTCTGTTTGATCTATATAAAGAAAAAACAATCTGGGTGCGGATGGGTTGAGCATAGTTCGATGATCGCTTTCTGAAAGAAAACATGTTCTTGGATGAAAAAACAGATGTGACATGTGATACGCTTTTTTCACTGTTGGGTGGTCACTTGAACATATGACTTGTTAGTGACAAAACATGGTCACAAATTCTCATAGCCGAAGGTATCCCCGCTTCCCCAGTTAATGTTGTTTGTTTATTCTTGGTTAAGTTACGCTTTGGTAAACTAACAGTTTGCGAACTGGACAAATCACAACTTAATAGGTAAATCAACGAACTCAATGGGCCATGTCCAATAGCTTTGTTAGTTTACCGGAGGGGAGTGGTTTTATTGCCATCACGGTTCAACATTTCCTGATTGGTGGTTTGGAACATTTTTTATTTTAGCACTTGGACCGAGTCCCTCCCAGCGGGAGTGCTGGGCCGGCAAAACCTCGGTGTTTCGCTCACCTGTGCCTTTTTTGCAATGGCTCTTTGGGGCAACTCCGGTCCTTTGGTTAACTGGGGGTACCACCCGTCGATGGAGGTGGGATCGAAGTGTGACTTGGTGGCTGAGGTGATTTCAGGTACCACTGATGCCATTTTGGTGTCCATCATGCCGCAGCGCATCCCGGCCAAGCTGTTAGGTTCTCTGGAGGTTGCACCTGGCTGCTCTACGGTCTCAGTGTTTGATGCGACGCTGGTACAACAAGGACCGACACCGATTTTTGTTGTGGATGACCCATCCGATGCTCTGCTGTATGGCCGTAGCTCCAGGGAAGCTTTCAATAGCATGATTGACCTATGTGCTGGTATGGGGATTGGAACCATTGGATTCCAGGCAGCAGGAATTCACCCGATGTGTGCCGCTGAATGGTCGCTACCTTTTGCCGAAGCATACAGGTCATCTCACCCAGACGTGCCTTGCATTCATGGAGACATCACGGCCAAGGAGACCATCAAAAGCGTGTACAAAGCCTTCCCGAAACCAGCCGTTGTGATGTGTGGTTTTTCTTGTCAGCCGTTCAGTGCCGGGGGTGCCCAAAGAGGTGCTGATGATCAGCGGTCAACAACACTGCATGCTGCGCTCCGTGCTGGCCTCATGCTCCGTTCCGTAGCGATTGTGCTTGAATGTGTACAGGACGCATCCACTAATTCGATGGTTCGTCAGCAGGTAGAAAGCTTCCGGGATCAGTGTGGTTACCATCTGAGTGAAACCATCTTGCATTTGGATCATGTGTGGGTCTCTCGAAGAAGCAGATGGTGGGCCATACTGACTGATGGATTTGTAGGACCTGTCCAGCTCCGTGCATCCGAAGCATTCGATGTCCCGTCTGTCCCCCGTGAAGTCCTGCCAGCACCGATGTCTGTGTCCCTTGAACACCTCAGGCAGCTTGAGTTGAAAGATGATGAACTTGAAATGTTCCTGCACTACCAGCCTCGACTTGCCAAGATGTTTCTCCAAACCAATGCAAAGGCCCCCACAGCCTTACACTCATGGGGATCCCAGGTGACGCCATGTGAGTGCAAATGCAGAAGTGCTGGATTTTCCCATGAAACTCTTCAGAAGCGAGGCTTGTATGGAATCCTTTTTCCAGTGTCAGCTGACCTTGGTCCCAGTCATCCGCAGCATCCGAGGGTCAGACACCCGCATCCAACGGAAGTGGCAGTCCTGACGGGGGTGCCTGAAATGGTATGGCCGTCCAATTTGAGACTTTGCCTGGCTGGCTTAGGTCAGCAAGCATCCCCTCTGCAGTCGGTTTGGGTTGGAGCCCTGTTGCAATGCCATGTTGACCAGGTCTACTTTGGTGCCACGAGACTTGACCCGCTTGATTGCCTGCAGGACGTCCGAGGTCGTGTCTTGGTGATTGCTGAGCATTTGGAATTTGATCCAGTCATCCCAAGTTGCCTGCCTGATCCTCCTGTTGAACCGACAATGGACTTGACTTTGGATGATTTCTCCCTCACGCCCTGGGTCCACTTTTCTCATAAAGGTCGTCCCGATGAGTGCACTGTTGTCCATTATCTGGAGCGTGTGCCTTTTGTCACCCGACTGTCGGACCCTGATGAGACAGTTGCCGCGGTTTTGCTCACGACTTGCAAGTTTCTGGGGTTGGATGACGCTGAGTCCAAAGTTATTGATTGCAGCTCTGGTCTGAACCTTGACTTTGGTCACCCCGCAGCTGGAATGTGCCTTTGGATTGCCAGGAATGCTGTCAATGTGGTCCCAGCACATGAGTTCCCAGATGTCTCAGCAACCATCCCTTGGCTTGCGGAAGATCCCATTGAAGATGTTGTTGCCCCTGAGCCAGTCACTGCAGTGGCACCCGCTGCCCGTGCATCGGAACCTGTCCCCGAGGCGTTGGTGTCCCTGGACTCAGCACGGCTCAGCTTGATTCATGAACCTTCTGTGTCCGATGTGTCGTTTGTTCAGGCGTTGCGAAAACAGACCATTGACGTTGAATCAAGAAAGCAAGTGCTGGCCAATCAAGGAACGTTGTGGGCTGATGACGAATTGCTGTGGCATGTCGATCAACTCCTCCAGGTTGCCAGGAAACCAACATGGGCTTTGCTTGACCCCTTGATCGCTGCTGAAGCTTTGAAACGTCCGAGTAGCAGTCTCCTGTCTCAGTGGTTGGATTCTTTCCCCAAGCGTCCTACTGCCGTCATTGGGATTGTCCCTGTCGATAAGCACTGGGTGCCTTTCTTGTGGACTTGGACGGCCAACTGCATGATTGCAACTTGTTGGGACATCCCAGGTCCTCCATCACCTTCCTTGGCGATTTTGCATCAGAGCCTTGCTGCAGCGGTGGGTTCCCGTACCTGGACTGTTCATGCTGTGCACCGTGCGTTTGCGGTTACTGAGTACTGTGGTTTGTGTGCGCTTCGCTTCATCGATCACATGCTCCGTGGCAAGATGCTCCCGCCCAACCTTGACGAGGTGAAAAAGCTCCATGCCACTGCCAGATCAATGTATGTCCAATTCCTGGATACCTGTGCCACAGTCAGCAGGCCATGGATTTGGGCAGCTGGACTTGAGCCCAAGGCCTATGATCGGCTTCAGTCTCTGCTTGAGGAGCATGGTGTGGAAACTTCTCAGACGAAGAATCGTGCCTCCCTTTTGATCCAGGCAGCTGGACTTCCCTCTGTCCAAGGAGCTCTCAACTCTGGCCAACCGTGGCGAGCCCTCAAAGGGGTGGCAAATAAATGCAAACCTGTCTTCCAGCTTGTCCTCCCACAGGAACTTGAACAAGCAGTGCAGAAGAAAGCAGAACAAGGTGGACTTCGAGCCAAGCGCAAGAAGAATGCATCCACTGGAAAGCCAGCGCAGTCTAAACCAGACACTCCCAAAGCTTTGGATCCTGTCAAGCTGACCATTGATGAAGATGCGTTCACCACTCCTGATGGCACTGGACTTTGCCAAATCCAAATGAATGGAATCGGGCCGTTTGCCCAAGGTGTTGTCCTTTCCACGCCTGATGAAGCTTCCGCGTATCTCAAAGCAGGTCAGTTGGTGTCTCAGGGTTCCCTTGCGCTTTTGTTGCTCAATGCCGATGCGTCACAACTTGAGACTGGTTTGACTTGGTCCTTCTTGCGGGTGGTCTTGCGTTGCGTTGCAAACAGTGAGCCTATGATCGTACCTGCCTACCTTGTTCAACTTGGTAAAGTTGTTGTGTTGCCCAAAGCCCAAGATGGTCCACAAGACATCTTGCATGCCCCTGCCGCATGTTGCAAGATCGCAGTCTACCGTGACATGGTAGCTGAAGACTGGCAGCAGATCATCCGATCTCCGGTGAAGTATGTCCTGGCTCATCTTGCACCTCTTCAGGTTTGCCGCCTTGGAAACCCACAGTCCCCATGTTCCTGCGGAAAGTGGCACCCCTCGCCAGATGATGTGGTGGAAGATCCTGTGCTGGATGTCTGGCGCCGTCAATGGGTCTCCTTGACCTTTCGCCAGCTTGCCCCGGAGCAGTCTGAAGTCTTCATCTTCAACATGCGCTGCCTGGAATCGCTTCTCCCCAGTGTGCTCGCTTGCAGTGGACGACATGGTATCTTCATCGAACCCAGAACAGTCGATGCCCGTGACCCACTGCTCACTTACCAGGTCCTGTGGTTGCCCAAGACGCCCCACGACGAGCTTCTGAGGATCCAACAATGCACAGCTCAGGTCATTGGCCTTGCCAGGCTCGGCAACCGACTTGGCGTCAGATCCAAGACATCCGACGCATCTGAGCTCGCCAAGCAATTGAAACCGGGATCCATCTTCCTTGCTCCTGGAGCAAAACTGACGTTCGAACTGGGTCCACTGCCATTTGGTATGGACAGGCTTTCAGTAGCCC